TCTTCTTCTTCTTCTTCTTCTTCTTCTTCTTCTTCTTCTTCTTCTTCTTCTTCTTCTCTTCTTCTTCTTCCTCTTCTTCTTCTTCTTCTTCTTCTTCTTCTTCTTCTTCTTCTTCTTTTTCTTCTTTCTTCTTTTTCTTCTTCTTCTTCTTCTTCTTCTTCTTCTTCTTATTATTATTATTATTATTATAATTATTATTATTATTATTATTAATATTATTAATATTATTAATATTTTTATTATTATTATTATTATTATTATTATTATTATTATATTATTATTATTATTTATTATTATTATTAATTCATGAGTTATCGAAAGAAAATAGAAAAAGTATAACAAAAAAAATGTCAAAAAAAAGCATAAAAATAAAAATAAAAACATGGGGTGCGCGCCGCGCCAAACAAAAATGAGCGTCAACTTCTTGTGCTAACGTTTCACGTACGATCTGAGAGGGAGGGCAACAACCTCTCAGCGTACAGAGACACTTCTTCCACCGAACATAGTGAATTATCGGTTAAAGAGAGATAAAGAGAGAGAGAGAGAGAGGGAGAGAGAGAAAGGTAGAGATAGAAAAATAGAGAGAGAGAGAGAGAGAGAGAATCTCCAAGAGAGAAAGAGAGAGAGAATGTGTGTGAATGAACGAGAAACTTTGAGCAAAGACAGGAATGCGAAATATACCTACCTACCCTCGAAGTTTAACGAACGAAGCCTTGTTTACATATTATTTTTTTTTTTGTATCTCTATTATAAAGGAGGAGGAGGAGGAGGAGGAGGAAAGACACGTTATAAAATAAAATAAAATAAAATAAAATAAAATAAAATAAAATAAAATAAAATGAAATTTATTTAGTAATAATTATTTGAAATGGTACAATACGTTCTCGCATCTGTCGACGACGAGTAGTACCCATAATTAGGTAGTTGAGAGAAAGAGAGAGAGAGAGAACGAGAGAAAGAAAGAGAGAGTGAAAGAGAGAGAAAGAGACGATTAGAACATAAACAAAATCTAGAAAAATAACGAAAAAGAGATCTTGAGAATAAAGATCAGTGAGAGAAGAAAAAGAAAGATGATAGAAAAGCGAAGTAGAGATATAGTGTAGAAAAAGAAAGAATATATATATATATATATATATTTATATAAAAAATGAAAGAGAATGAGAGAGTGATAAAGAGGTAGAGATAGAGAGAGAGAGAGAGAGAGAGAGAGAGAGAGAGAGAGAGAGAGAGAGAGAGAGAGNGAAAGCTAAAACAGTCAGCGCTTGATCTCTATTTTATTTATACATACATATATATATATATATATATATATATATATATTAATAATCTAAGAATATCGAATAAAATTATCAGTCAAGTGATTTTCGAGAAATTACTAGATCAATGTTCGCGTAAAAATAGCATTCTTGACTATTACTTTATTCGATTAGTATGATCGGTTGATCAAATATATTAACACATTACCGATCTTCCTATTTCTAAGTATGATCGTCAAATTAAAAGTGTGCGGCAACGTATTAACTAAAAGTTACAATACATATTACGATTAAAAAAATACAATAAAAGAATTGGGTGGGATTTAAAAGAGGAGGTAACAAAAAAAGTTGTTAAACTCATCGAGAAGTTATAATAATAATTATATATATATATATAATAAAAAATGAATAATAGGAAAGCTATCGTCACGCTTGATCGTGCCATACTTTCCAAAGTTTTTTCTATGATAATTTTATAATATCTAGACGCATAAAACATATATAAGCGTAATATATTTATTTTATATATATATTATTAGAAAGAGTGTGTTTAGCCAACAAAATAAAATATATAAGAGTGAACAAGCAAGCTTTGAAAGGTATATCACGCGAGTATTGCGCAGTGGTACATAGACACGCCATCAAGCGCATAGATCCGCGAATATGTCACGCGAATAAACGTTACTCGCACGAGCTCTGACATAATTACGTGTATGCGTGTTCCTTCGACTAGCTCGCACATGTCCGCAACACGTGCGTGCATGGCGTTCACGCATTAGGCACACCGATAAATACGCTCGAACAGGAAGGAATAATAAAAGATAAGCTCGCATCGTCAACTGATATCATTCCTACATCTCCACGTGTTCACTTGCGCGCGCACCTCACACACCACATACACACATACACACATCAAAAGAGAGAGAGAGAGAGAGAAAGAGAGAGAGTAATACTATCTTTTTCTCTCTTTTTCTCTTATACTCACCAACTCACACACAGTTGCTTTTAGAAGCCATTGGATAAACCGTACACAGTCATTGCGATTATCGATGTTTGCGAGTTGGTCGTTGTTAAAATCGAATAAGGAAAATGTATTTGTCCCGTTCAAAGCTTCAGAAGAAAACGTTGAACATTTTGAACGATAAACTGTGTTACTTTTCTTTCTATTGAATCACTCGTCCAATTTTAGGATTCTCTTTCTAGGAAAATCTATCTTTTATAGAGTATGTAAATATTAAATATAATACTTTATCTGTGATCTTCCTTTAGAGAAATTAGAAAACACGAAATTCTCTTGGAAAAATACATTCTTCTTGGAAAAAAAATGTTCTTTGAACGAAAATTGACAAAGATTTTCAGAGATTATATCTTTTGTGAGCAGATCATATAATGCAAAGGACAGGATAATTTATGTATTTGTAACAAAAGAAAAAATCCTGGAAACTCGAGGAGTTATTCCCATTTTCCTTTCAAATATAATTTAAAATATATTTGCCCTTTTATATTCTTAGGCAACCCTATATTCCGTATTGCAGGAAGATTCATTCATTCATTCGTAGTGCATCGGAAGCACGAAAGAATTTGGACAGTATTCAGCGAACCTTCATAGCAATCTTGCAACGAGAAGTACAAGTCTTCAAGCAATTTGATAATTTAACAAAAATCAAACTTATTTTAAAAACATGTTCGTTACTTCGATCATTTAAATCACGTAAACGCTGAATATTTAATTTTTTTGGAAAAGAAACAACACTTGTTGTTCCAACGATGTAAGACTCAAAAAAAACAAACAAAAGTGAAATTATAGAAAGTAAAAGAAACCATAAAAAAATGTCTATTTTATTTTTTTGCAGCAGGGTCGCGGGGTGCAGTTCAGACATGGGAAGTGAGCATTACTGCCTGAGGTGGAACAATCATCAGAGCAACTTGCTGGGTGTGTTCAGTCAACTGCTGGAGTCGGAGTCGCTGGTGGACGTGACACTGGCGTGCACGGAGGGACCATCGATACGCGCCCACAAGGTAGTCCTCTCCGCGTGCTCCAGCTACTTCCAGGCCCTGTTCCTAGACCATCCGAACCGTCACCCCATCGTAATCCTAAAGGACGTACGTTTCGCCGAGTTACGTACCCTCGTCGACTTCATGTACAAGGGCGAGGTAAACGTCGAGTACTGCCAGCTCTCGGCACTTCTCAAGACAGCGGAGAGCCTCAAGGTTAAGGGTCTAGCGGACATGACGAACATCAATGCTGCCGTCGCTTCGCGAGAGGAACAACAAACGCAACAGCAACAATCGCAATCGCAATCGCAATCGCAACAGCAAAATCTACAGGCTCAACAACAGCAACAACAACAACAATCGCAACAATCGCAACAACAGCAACACGATCGAAGTTCCGAGTGTTTATTGCGGGAATCATCGCGAGAACAACACCATAGAGAACGTGATAGTATAAAAGATAGTAATAGTTGCGGTGGGAAAGTTAACGAGAGGGATAGAATCGAGGGAAACGTTCAAGGCGTCGCGACGGCGGCCTCGGCCGGCGCGACGACGTCCAGTCAAGGCACGAAAGATTCTTCCGCCGAACAGCAACAACAACCACAACAACAACAGCAACAACAACCACAGCAACAACAATTGCAAACGCAGCAGCAACAGCAACAGCAATTGCAATCGCAACAGCAATTGCAAACGCAACAGCAGCAACAGCAACAACAACAACAGCAACAACAAAATCATCCGCAAGGAACGACAAGCGATTCGATCGAAGCCGTCGATATGACGGATTGTCCAGTATCACCAACGGGACCAGGTAGTCCCTGTCCTGGTCCCCTTGCTCTCGATCGACCAAGAAGGGATTCCGAGGATGCCGCTAGCTTCGAAGAAACTAGAGGATCCCTCAGTCCCATCTCGGTACACAGTGGTCCATCCGATATGAGCCTGAGCAACAACACCACTAGCACACCTGGTGTCTTACCTTTGAACTTACCGCAGAACCGACTTCCGTCCCCGCACAGTACCGAACCACTCGCAGGCCCATCAGGCCTACCTCCTGTTCAACAAGTTCCACTTGTAAGTATAATAAACTAACTTTTATTTTTTATCACTTTCGTGACACGGTACTTCTGGTGTGAGCTTAAATCTTTAACTGCTTATCATTTTCAACAATTTATAACAGTCTATTATAAGTTTTTATTGATTCAAATGATGAGGTTTGCTAATATACAAGGCGTTTCGTAATTTGTGGATACTATTTATAAATACAAATTGAGGAGATGGTCATTTCGAGCATTTAACTCTGAAGATAAACTGTCGTGGATTATTGGAACACAAATGTGGCAATAATTTTGAAACAAAGTCCCCCGCTTATTACGAAATATACTCTAAACAAAATATTGCTTTAGGCTTATAATAATTTATTAGATTTAAATGAAATAAAAAAGATATTCAATTGTAGCGAATTTTATTTATAATAGGAAAGTCTAATTAATTCTAAACAGTCGTAGATATTTATTTCAACCCTCCTTGAGGTAGGTTCAAAATGACGTTGGTAATTCAAAAAAATATATGACCCACCATCATATCACAATCAGTAAAAATTTTTTTTTCTTTTTTTTTTTCTTTAATTGATCTAAAAAAAAATTTACTTTTCCGATCTAACACAAAACAATCTGTTATATAAAAATAAATACAAAGCTTTCCATTTTGTTCTCTTGGAAACTGTTAAGTATTAGAATCTTACTGCTTTTTCAATGTATGTTTCTACTATAGACTCCCACAATTCTGTAGAACAAAAAAAGAGAAAAAATCTGTGTCCTGTCATTCTGGTTCTTCTTCCCTTTCACAAACAAAAATATTATGAACGGCTATTGAAAAGGTAAAAATATAAAAGTAGCTTAGAGGACTGTAATACCGGTCACGAACATGCGCGTAACATATAATAACCGTGAAATATCTTTCCTTCCAACCAATTTCCATATTTATTTCTCTCCTTTTAATTTCATCGTTCTGTAGAAATATATATATATATATTTCTTCATATATATATATATATATATATACATATATATATATATATATTCGATGTAAACTGAAGACGCGCCATTTGCAGTCGTTGAAAAAGGAAATGGACTGGGAAAGATCGACCGAGGAACGGAGTGCAAGCAGTGAAATATCCACGGACTACAGACTCCCACCAGATCCGGTGAGTCCATCTTCATTTTGTCTTCTATACTTATATATATGTATATACATATGCATATATATACATATATTTTTTTTACTAAACTCCTTTTTCTTCTCCCACTTCGTACATTATTCTATACATGTGTATTTAGATTATTCGAAAAGTAATTTCATTTCTTCCATCATCAAATTCATTTTATTCAATTTATAAAGATGAGAACAAAATCAGCAGTCATCAATACAATCAAATTGAAATAATTATAAAATGAGATTACTTGACGAATAAACTAATATTTATTTAAATATCTCGATGTACAGGCCGATTATCAAAAGGGGGATTGTCAAATGATTTTTTGTTTATTTTCATTATTTATTTGAATCTTCTTCTTCTTTTTCTTCTATTTGTGTGTGTGTGTGTGTTATTAGAAATTAACGGATTTAGTGTTAATCGTTTAAGAATATTTTTGTCTTCGGATATTTTCTTGACACTCCTCTTAAAGTCATCTTGTACATAAAGATAACGAACTACTAATTTTTTTTTATTATTATTATTATTCTCGTGTCTCTTTGCTCTGCATTTATATTAAATATATTATATTACAAACATCTCTCTATATATTATATACATATATGTATATATATATATACATTTTTTTATTTATTAGATTATAAATATATATGTATATATTATATTAATAGTTGCATTATCGATAAAAATATCGAACGCAACTCTCTGGTACTACGATCGTCGACAAACACGCGAGATTGTTTCGATCGTAAACCTTCGATCCCTTCTTCTTCTTCTTCTTCTTCTTTAAATATTATATAATGTTCATTAAAAAATGAATAGTAAAAAATAAATAAATAAATCAATCAATGAAAAAAATACAAAAAGCTAATAATTCGTCGAGAATTATGATTTTATACACGTCTCTACGTATCTATATTATTATATATTATCTTTATCTATATATTATTATTATTATTATTATTATTATTATTATTATTATTATTATTATATTCTATATTCTATATATATATATATATATCGAATTCACTTGCATGTGGGTCTATTTGCATGTGCCCAAATGCTTTGCTGTTTGCTGCTCTCCCTGCTCTAACATCAGATTAAATAATAAAACAAGAATAAAAAAAAATTATAATAGAGACGACATATGAAACTGAATCATAAAACCAAAATTAAATAAATAAATAATAAATATATATTTCATTAAAAATATAAAAATTCGTCAAATTTGTAATACTCACTTTCGCGTACAAATATATTCATTCATTGACATTAAAATATATTACTTTCAGTAATGAAATTTCTCGCAATCTTGAACATCGTTGTAATCTCGGGAAGTAAAATGACACAAGAGACAAAAAAAAATATATATATATATATATAAGCTTATTTAACGTAAGAGACTAGTGTTCTCGCACTAATTCACAGACTTTGAAAGGAGAATCGATGAAAGCTTTAAAGTTTACTCACGATTAGTTGACGAATTGATAGGCTTCTCTTTCTAAAAGATTTTTTCTCTTCGTCGCGTTCGTATAATAAAAATTGAAATATTTAACAATAATAATAATAATAATAATTATAATAAAAATAATAATAATAATAATAAAACAGATATATACGTACGATTGTATGAAACCAAAAAAAGAAATATTTTATAACATAACCTAAAAATTGGTTAAAGAAAATAAGAAAATATCGTGCATGTCTCTATATATATATATATTTTTTTTTTGCCGAATTACTTATATATTTAAATATACATAAATATATATATATATATATATATCTATTCTACCTATTTATCTATCTATTTATCTATCTCTCTTTTCCAAACTAATTCACTCCTCCAACATCCTAGAAAATATCCCGTATTTTGCCTTCGACGTTTCTACGAATTTTCACATTCTCTCTCTATCTCTTTCTAACTATTCCCATCTATCCATTTTTTTCTCTAATTCTATCCTTGTCTCTCTCTCTCTCTCTCTCTCTCTCTTTCTATTTGATCTATTCAAGCTTGTCTCTCTCTCCCTCTCTCTCTCTCACTCACTCTATCTTTATCTCTTTCGTACATCCCAACGTGTTCTTCTACTTCCTCTAAACGAACCCACCCCTTTTTCTCTACCCTTTCTCGCGTGCGTTCACATTCCCTTTTTCCCTCCCTCTTTACTCTCTCTCTCTCTCTCTCTCTCTCTCTCTCTCTTTCTCTATCTATCTATCTCTTTTACTCTCTTTTCCTTTTATATGCGCACACAGGCGCATAGCATAGCACGAAGGCATTACTCTACGGAGCTATGCTTCTTCTTTATCCAAACTCGAATTCCCTACTCTCTCTCTCCTTCTCTCTCTCTCTCTGTCTCTCTTTTTCTCTTCTTCCCTCTTTTCCTCTTTTTCCTTCTCTCTTCCTTTCGCTCATTCTCTTTCTCGGTGCTTTTGAAAGTGCTAAATCGACGAACGCTGCTCAAAGCACTACCATCTTTCTCTCTCTCTCTCTCTCTCTTTCTCTCTGTCTCACACACACTCATACACACTTACTCTCTTTTTTCTTCTTATTCCTAGTCCTATCTCTCCCACGCACATCCATGTAAAAGAAAAAAAGAGGATTACCAACCCAGCAAAACACATATAATATCCATTGTATTTTTTTTTGTTTCCTATCCTGCCAGCCTGTCTTGCTAGCTCACTATCAAGAAGTTGACCTTCGTTTTTGGATATGGTTGTTTTTTACTACGTTTACATATATATGTATGTATGTATGTATATAAATATATATATTTATACATATACGTTTATTTAATATATACATACATACGTACACGTTGCGCATCGTTTCATTGGACGATTATATTGTTCTATATACATATATATATGTATATATATATATATATATTACTCGACTCGATACATATATGTGTTCAAGAAAAAAAAGGACATCATACATACGCATATAAATATGTATATGTATGTATTAATATTATGCACACACATGCATATCTCTATGTATACGTATTCATTTGGCATAACGTTATACATATACAAACATATATATATATACATACATATATAGTATGTATATATATATATATAATTATCATTATCTCTCATTATTACTTTTTCTACTTTATTTGTATTTCGATTGTCGTTTTTTTTTTTTGATTGAATGCAAATTAATTGCCTTTTTTTGCTACGACGAATAAAAATCAATAAACGAAAGAAAGTATTTGGGTAAAAAAACAAAAAAAATTAAAGAAAAATATTAGGCCATTTTCGGCTGCGGGGGGATGCACGTGCCACAAAACGCGTCGAGAAGGGAGTTGG